GTAAACTGTAATAAAGTCTTTGCTTAATAACTTGTAAAAATTATTTGTTTCAAGTCTGCTTACCTTACTTAATGCTAAGCTCCATGAATGTTGGGCCTCTGTTTGATTCATCTCTATATCCCCAATGTGGTGCTCATTACATAGCAAAAATTGAATAAGTATTTGGGAAATGTTTATAGGCCAAAAGGGCTACCCTTACAGAGAAATGGAAAGGAAGGTCCAATGAGTCATTCTGCAGTTATGGACCTTGTCATCAGATGAATATGAAGTATATTCAGCCCCCAGAATTATTGAGCTGGGAACCTGTTGACTTTAAAGACTGAGAGTCATACAGCTGACTTGATCTGTATCCCACACAAAATTAAGGCACCAAATCCAAGGTCCAGTACCAATTTAGAACATAAGAGGCTAAAAATTTGCTCATATCTTTCATTCAAATCTAAAGTTTTTTAAAAAGTGATAAAATTGATATGAATTTACAGAAAGATCTCAATTGATTAAAAAATTAAAAATATTACAAATGAATCTATTCTACTATAGTTCAGTATTTGTATATAGTTGTAAAGTATCAATAATTTTATTTTTATTTTTATACTTTTCCTATGCTTGCTAGACCTCCTCTTAAAATAGATTACCACAGCTTTTAGTTCATAGGTTTATAGACTATATGTACATACTCATTTCTCATAGCTTTATTCATTAAAATTAGTGGTATGTTTTTCACTGTTTTCACTGTACACTTCTTTCAACTTTCCAATATGTTTGAAAATTTTCATGATATTTTGAGGAAAAATATATTATAAAGGAAGAGTCCATTTGGGTCACTAATTGTCACTACTTGAATAGACAGCAGTTACTTATTTAAAATATTTATGTATTAATAAAATGACTATATATGTGTATGTATGTACTTTTAAAATCTTGCTTTAACATTTATAAACATGCTTTACCACTTAATACCTCTGTAAACCTTGGGCAAATAATTCCCCTGCGCTTCTACTGTAACATAAGAATATGTCACATGCCTGAAGGTAGTGGGTTAGGTCAGATGATTTCTTGATATCATTTCATGATAAATGCTAATTGATGCAGCTGGGGAATAAAACTCCAACTGCCTTAAGTTGTTCACACATATAAGTGTATGCATGTGTTGAACCAAAATTGCCACTTCTGTAGTGAGTACCTGCCCAATATCAGGAGTTTCCTATGGTTCAACCTAGTAGATACATATATAACATCTATCAGATATTCTATTTATTCAACATATACTTACTTGGCACCCACTTTATTCCAGGCATTATGTCAGTTTTTAAGACACAAAAAGGAACAATTTCTGCACTAAAGGAACATGCAGTGCGGACTCTCTCTCAGGGTGTCCGCTCCAACAGCAATGTTTATCATGCGCTATGGAAACATAGAGAACAGACCACTAACTCGAAGTTACTGAAGAGGAGTTCACTGCAGACATGGTGGGAGTCTCCCAGAAGCGGGAAGGCATGTGAACTGCACTAAGGCACCACTATGAGATGGCATGGGGGTATGAAAGGATTTGCACTGTCCGGGAATAATGAGAAGCTCAAGATCACAGAAGCATAGTGTACAGAAGATGTGTTAGGGAACTGAGGCAGGAGGTATAAATTGGGTCATATTGTAAAGGCTATGCTAAGTTTAAGATTTTCTCTTATTTATAATGTTGTTATTATCAGCTTTGATTTTGAAAGATTGATTTTAGATAAGTAACTCTGGTGAAAATGTGGAAAATGGACTAAAAGAGGGAGAAGCAGGTCTCCCCATAAACAGATAGAAAGTTGTTGCAGCAGTCCAAGTGAATGGCAGTAGGAAGGTGAGAAAGAGAGGCTGGATTCACAGAGATTTCTAGCAATAAAACTGGAAGGGTTTGGTAACAATACAGAATATCTTTCATCAACTTTGGGAACTTTTAGAGATTATTTCCTTGAATGATTTTTCTGCATTTTTTTCCTATCTCATTTTCAGACTCCATTTACATTCTTATTAGACCTTCTAATATTATTCTATAAGTGACAAGAGTCCCTGTTCATTTTTATATTAAATATTTTTTCTTTTTATTTAGATTTAAATTAAATAATTACTATTATCTATCTTCAAGTTCATTGGCTCTTTTTCTGTCATATTCAATCTGCTCTTAAGCCCATCTGGTAATTTGTTTTTTCCTTTCCGATTGTGTTTTTCTATGATTTCCATTTGGTTCCTTTTTAGTTTTTACTCTGTTGAAATTTCCTCTACTGACTTATTGTGATCATATTTTTCTTTACATTTTTATATAGTTATAACAGCTGCTTTAAAATCTTATCTGCTAAATTCCAATTTCTTGGAGTAAATCTCTACTGATTATCTTTTCTCTTGGATATAGGTATCACTTCCCTATTTTCTTCATATATTTAGTCATTTTGTCCTGCATCCTGAATCTTGTAGAGCATATGTTAGATTTCTCTGAAGGGTACTAATGTTTCATTTGTTCATTTTAGCAGGAAAATACTTTGGAGAACCCAAACTCTGTTTGCCCTGTGGTGGCCAGCCGCTGAAATCTTAGTTCAATCCTTTCAACCTTAGGTGGCTACCCTCTACCACACATGCATTCTTCAGAAGTCAAACAGATATTTGGACAGAGTTAACATGCAGAATTTTGGGCTCTCCCTCTGTGCGTCTCTTCTTTTTGGGCTTTTCACCCTCACTCTCTAGTCGTTATGGTAACCCTGAATATACTGCTGACTGGGAGCCTACCCTCAGATGAAAAGCATTAAATATGGGAAACTCACCTCATGCTATTCTCTTCTTCCAATTATCAATGCTTCTCCAGTTTTTGCCCACCTTTATTTGTCCTTCAGCAGCTTTAGTTGTTATATATATATATATATATATATATATATATATATATATATATATACATACACACACACACATACATATATACATATATATGTATAATTACAAACACAATATGTGTATATATGTCTGTGCGTAGGTATAAAATTATGTGTATGTCGTGTAATTATGTGTATATATATTGTTTGTATAATTGTTATTACTGGGATGCTCGATCTGATCTGAGCTACTCTGCCATTACTAGGAGAATCCATACCTAACACAAGATTAGATGTATTCTCTGTTTAGAAAGTAATTAGGGAGAAAAAAAATCAGTAAATAATAAAGTCCTTAAGTGAAAAATGAAACATATAAGAAAAAACAACTCAATAGAAAAATAATCAAAGGAATGAATAAATAAACATTCCATAAAGGGGAGAATACAAATGGCCAAAAAACATACAAAAAAATGATCAACTCTAGCAATAGTCAAGTAACTTCAAATTAAGATAACAAAATTATACCTATTTTTAACAAAAATTAAGATAAATAACAAAACCAAGAGATGGATCAATAGAAATTGATCTTCTTGTGAAAATATAAAATTGTACTTTGGAAAAGAACTTGATATTATCTTGAGAGGCTGATGATCATTTGCAGCAATTCCATTAGAAAATATAAATAACCTAGAAAACCTATTTGTGCCCTGAGAGAAATATACTAGAATGTTTAGAGAAGCACATTTCATAATAACAAAAAATCTGGGAAACCAAATCTCCATTCCTCAAGTGACAAATTTTGATACAAACACAAAGTTAATATCACACAGCAATGAAAATGAATGACCTACTCCTCAGACGTTAATATGTATTATCTTAGAAAAATATCAAGTGAAAAAAAACTAGATACATACATTATAAAAAAAAACTTTTATAAAGCTCATAAAGTAAGGAACTAAACTATATCTTATTTCAATTTATATGGATCTACAGTAAAACTAGTTCTTAGGAGAATGACTAATGAAAAATTCAGCATAGAGGTTACTTCTGAGAAGGGAACAGGATATGGATAAGTAAAGAATAAAAAGGTATTGGTATTTTTCCTAATTCTTAAGATGCTGATAGGTTCACAGGCATTCCTTTTAAAATGTGCATCATAAAGTATTTATATTTACATATAGTCTTTTGCATGTATAAAATAATAAATTAAAATGTAGAAGAGGCAGAAAAATGGGAAGAGCTTGGAAAAAGATGAATAAAATCATAATAGCAAGAAGAAGCTCATGCTACCATGTTTTCATCTGAGTAAATACTCCTTGGCTAAATATACACTTTTGTAAATCCCAACTAGAATGGCATCTAAGTAATTAGGTAATCCGATGTCTTTTAAAATAAGCATATTTTTGGAGTTATAAGGGTTTCAAAAGTCATATTTCTGTTAAAAATAATATTCTGAGTATTTATATTTTGAGTTACAGTAATTTATATAAAATGTATTTTTGATAAAATAATTTTGGCTTTAATTTTATTTACAAATAGCCTGGCACTTGTAACTTAGAACTTAAGCTTATTACTTAATTGAGTTCTCCCTTTTGGTTTATAACTAGCTTGATAGTTTATGCCAAATAACAATTGTTGAGATAGAAAATATTAAAATCTATCATTCCCAGATAAGGTTTCTGAGTCAAATCCTCTCCTTCGTCAACATTTTGTCTAAATGGACATGTGCTCTTTTTTTTTTTCTTTTCAAAATGTGGGTCATTTTGAAAGAAATACTTTCAGAAGAAAACCACATATGATTAATGCTAACTTGAAAAGATACTCTAAAATTCTGTGGTTTTTCTGAACATCCCATGGTGAAAAAAGCTATTTGGGATCATATGATCACATTGTAAATCTCCCAAAAAGGCCACAGAGCCTATTTCTAGTGATGTTATGGAGTTCATCTTGAAAGCAGCTACGAATATTTAGGAAAATAGTCACAACGTAATTTGGAATGTAATTAGATTCTTAGTCATTAGGTTAAATAAAGAACATACCAGACAACAATCAATACGCCAGGCTTTCTTAGACCAAAAACAGAAAGTGAATTATAAATCTAGAAAAAAATTCTAGAGGGGGAAAAAATTCCTTACTTATTTCTTCTACTTAGCAAGTGTGTTTTAAGTTCTACTGGGTCAGTTTCTCCACTGACGGTACTGGGACACTGAAAAAATAAAAGTATAAACGATTAAGAGCAGGGAAAATGCCCATTTGGAGTAAAGTTGAGATGCTTCCTATTCAAGTGCGGTCTGCGGACCAGATGGGAGCTTGGTAGAAATGCAAAACCTTGGCCCACCCAGACTTACTGAGTCAGAATCTTCATCTCCACAAGACCCTCGTGTGATTTACGTGCCTGTTAAACTCAGGGACTTACTGGCGTGACCCTCGTGTGATTTACGTGCCTGTTAAACTGAGGGACTTACTGGCGTAGATTAACTTAATTTCAGACAAAGTTACATAAAAAGTCATTTGCTTTTCTTCGGGTCATTCAATTCCACAGAAATGCACATGAATAACAAGGGAAGCCTGGAGAGACGTTGCTGTTGCTATTGCCTTTTCATCTCTCTTCTACTAAAAATAAAGTTTATGTTACATCTCTTTTTCTGGATATTTGTTTTTATGAACTGGGAAGACCAGAAAAAGGAGGCATTTCCCTTAGGATGAAGGACACATGCAAGATCTTCAAAGGCAAACACTAAGCTGGAACTATTGTTCTGTTAAAAATCCTTTCCTGTTGTTGTCATTGTTGCTGTTTAATTAAAATAAGATAAAAGAAAACAATTATCCCAGTAGTTACTAACCTTTTAATGGATGAAGGCTGAGTTAAGAAGAATTGGAAGTACCCAGTTAAGATGTTGCCATTAGAGTTTACAAGTTAACACAAACTACAAGTTTTTAAAATACTCAGAAATGAGGCTTTTCCTAATTTCCATATGCAATCCATCAGGGAGTCCTGTCGGTTAGGTTTGTGCCCAAATGTATATCTCCAGCTGCTCTCCATTTCCTTGGAAACCCTTCTCACCCAAATCACCATCGTCCCTCTCCTGGGCCACAGCATTAGCCTCCTAAAGGGTCCTTCTATCTGGTCTCACTACATTCCCTCTTGCCTCTCTCCAGTCCTCGGATGGCAATCAGAGGGACCTCTGTAAACCCAAGTCAGATCATCACCTTCATGGCCTAAAGCCTTCTACCAGCTCCTGAGCAATGGCCCAACGGGCCCTCCATGAAAAGGCCCTCAACTCCTTTATCAGAGGTATCCCCTGCTCTCTCCATGGTGCACCCACACCAGCTCAGGCCCTTATTTCTGGCCCTTTCCTGCCTCTGGGCCTCTGCACCTACTCCTCTCACCTCATCCTAGCTCTGTTTTTTTTTTTTCTTTCACATGTGGCCCATTCTCATCCTTCAGGTCAAAGGTTACCTCTGCAGAAAGGTTTTCCTGGCCTGGCCACCTTACCGGAAATAGCACCTGCCCCTCACACTATCTCATCACTCTTTCTTTCCAAGTATCCCATAGTATGATCTATAATAATCCTGTTGATTAGATCTCCTGTTAATTGCCTGTCTCCCCAGCCAGACCCTGTGGTCCACAAAAACAGGAACTGGTCCATCTTTTTCACTGCTCTGTCCCTAGCACCCAGCACAATGTCTCACACACAAAGGTACCCAATAAACATTTGATGAATGAAGCAATGAATGAAATGAAATGGAGTAACATTATAAAGATATGGCTCTTAGGTGGTTATTAAATATGTGTTGGAGTTAATTATTTCTTAGTAACTTTATTCAAATAGAAAAAAAACTTAAAACATCCCAAGTGATATTACTGGACTATAAATCATCATTAATACCACCTTCATGTTTTTCATCAGTCAACACTTATAATCCCTAGATACCATGGCCACTAGACCTGGCAGAATATATTGGTCAACCAAACTATCTAGCCTCAAATTATCTCTGATATTGCCCAGTAGTATTTTCCTAAGAATAATACCTAATGTCACACCTATGGTAGACACAGCTAATTGTCTATCCAATCTGTCCAATAGAACTTTTATTGTTTTTGGAACAGAAATGTGCCCAGATAACATTTCTCAGCCCTCCTTATAGTAAGGTGAGTTTCATGAAGCACAGTTCTGACCAAAGAGACAAAAACTTAAATCTTTAGAGAAAATGTTGCCTTCTTGATAAAGACTCACTAATTGTTCTGGGATGCTTCCACCAATTTCCATCCTAGGACTTGAACATGGTGGCTTGGGCCACTGCAGCCACCACCCAACCACGAGGAAAGTATGAAGAGAATCACAGAGACCTTGCTCCTGACCTCCTCGAGACTTTGAACCAAAACCAGCAACTACTAGCCTTCAAATTTATTGGTGAAAAAACAAACCTGAGTTTGTTTAAGCCATTGTTTTTCCCAGTTCTGATTCACTCTGCTAGTTTAAAACCTGTAGTGTTTTTACTGACTACAAGATAAAATCCAGACATCTTGCTATGAACCTAGGAGCTTCCAAATTTTACCCAAGCCACCTTCTACCATCACATCTCATTCCTTGGCCATGTGCTCTTACACCTCTCTCAACAACCTGCCCCCAACAATGCTTTCTACACTTCAAGTGACCTGAACTTCTCCTTGTCTACTGCATCACACATTTCCAACCCTCTGTGTGTGCTACTCTCTTATTCTCTCCAAGGGAAAAGTCATCTTTTAAGAACCGGTTCAAGCTGCCTGCCCTCCACAAGCCTTCCACGTCTCTGAGTCAGTTTCCTTGCCCATTCTTCTATGCCTCCCAAAGCCTTTACAATACTATGACACTGTGTTATAATTGGCCCAATTATGCATCCATTCCCTCTAGTCTGTGAGACATAGGCCTGGTATGTTAGTTATCTTTGCCACTGGTTACCACAACCCCTAAAAATCAGTCATCAAATAACTGAATGAATGTCCCTCAGCTCACCATTACTGTTGTTTTAAAACCATTATATCTCACTGTGTCTCTCCATGAATTACTTTTTTTTTTTGAGTATCGACTATGTGTGAGTACAACTAGGACCTAATACTAAGCATTAGGGATAAAGCACTGAACAAAACACAAAATTTTGTCCCTGTACAGATCTTCCCCTATTGAAAATACCTATACGAATAAAGTGAAAATCAACAAGAAGGTATTACAATAAACCAAAAATGAGCAGTAATAAGTAATGAAGGCAGAGTTGGTAAGATAATACACTATACACCAAGGTGCTAATGTAATGCAAAATGTATCATTCAGAAAAAAAAAATCCTAAGGCTGCCTTATTGGAATGTTAAGAAGAAACAGGCAATAATCTATTTTCCATTGTTTAGGCTTGATGGAGTTACCACTAAGGAATAAAAAAAAGGAATATTTCTATGTATATATTCAAATATATGTACAATAATGCTTATTAAATTATTATTTGTAACAGCCAAGATTTGGAAACAATTTAAATATTCCTCAATAGAGGATTCATTAAATAAAATATGGTGATTTCATACTATGAAATATTATGCAGTTGTTAAAAGAATGAGGAAGCCTCATAGCTACTGATACAGAAAAAACTTCTAAGATATGTTACTAAAAGATAAAGCTAGCCACAGAACAACAAAGATCATATTTATTTCTTATATATATATATATACCTTTATATATATGTATGTAATGTATTTACTAAAGTTATTGAAATAGAACTATAGAAAGAAGGAAAGACAGAAAGATGGAAGGAAGGAAGGGAGGATGGAAGAAAAACTGACACAAGAAAAATAAAAAATCTGAATAGTACTGTATCTCTGAAAGAAATTAAATCTGTAATTTCTCTCCTAGGAAGAAAACTTAGGCCCAGGTTACATCAGTGATTCCTTGAAATCTTTAAGGAAGAAATAATACCAATCTTACACAAAGCCTTCCAGAGAAAGGAAACAAGGAAAAGTTCCAATCCCATTTTGTGAGAGTAGCAATGTTGATATTAAAATCTGACAAGAATTTTATAAGAAAGAAACTTAACAAGAACAAGCCAATCTCTCCCATGAACGTGGATGTAAAACTCATACACAGAATATAAGCAAATCAAATCCAGCTGCATATGAAAAGCATAAAATACTGCAAACAAGATTTGTTTGCTCTAGAAATGCACAGGTGATTTAATATTTGAGGCCTATTAATAAAATTCAACAAACTTACAGAAAAAGAAAAGAGAAAACTCATATGGTCATCTCAAATGATCCAGAAAAAATAATCATTTGATAAAACTCAACATTCATTCATGGTACAAAAACTTCTTAACAAATGAGGAATACAGGGGAGACTCTATACTCTGGTAGCCACAAAAACAAAACAAAACAGAAAAAGCCCACAAAAAAAATAATTTATAGTGAAATAGAAAAATCCCAAACCACTCCCCACCCTTGATTTAACAACCAACATTTTTGTGTGTTTATTGTTGTTAAACTGATAGATCAAATCAGAGAGAGTTAAGAAGTCACAAGCCAGAGGTTCCAACATAAATGGCTGACATGTTGGCCAATGACCAACTTAATAGCTGTTCCAAAAATGTTTGCTGTATTACTTGATTAAAAATACTACAGAATTACAATCACTCTCCTCTGGAATCCAGGCAGTTCAATTTAAATTCAGCCTGACAAAAGCCCTACAAAGACGATACTATTTTTTCAAATTTATTTATTTCATTTACTTGTTTTTTTAATGGAGGTACTGGGGATTGAACCCAGGACCTTGTGCATGCTAAGCACACACTCTACCACTGAGCTATATCCTCCCCCTGCTCCAAAGCAGATACTATCAATATACATGTTTTACAGATGAGGGAAATAAGGCTTGGAGTTACATAGACTGCCTGAGTCACATAGCCACTAAATGGTAGAGGATTCAACCTCAGTCTGTCTCTCACATTTACCCTTTTAACCACTCTGTTACCCTATCTTCAATTTTTTAAATCACTTTTCACTAAACAGCATGTAGTTTTTGAAAGCCAATTATTAAAAAGACAAAAAAAAAAACAAAGCAATAAGCAGACCCCTACTTCCTAAAAGGAGATATTAGACAACAATGAAAGTACTTGTAATGGCACATATTGGAGCCAAGATGGTGGTTTTTAATAAAACTGAGCAAGGGTTGATTGCTTTCCCAC